TCTTGATCTTGGTTTTGGATGGACAAATTTCATACAAACTATGTACATGTATATTGAACATTATGAGACGTCAGATTGGATTCAAAACAGCTGACAGGTGACAATTTCGTCATAATTTTATTAGCGAATGCAGTTCAGGAGTCACATTTTATATATTTCTTAAACTTGAAAATTCAAAGGTTCTCATTGTTTTGTTTTCAGTACAAAGTAGTGAATAATTGGACAATGCCTGAAAGTACAGTGGTTGCATACAGATCATTCCAGCCATTTATCTCATTATTACATTGTGAAACAGCAGCAGCTCAGCTGTGGGCAGTATGGGCTATACTTTATGTGTGTACTATTCATGGTGAGTAACTCTGGGATAGATTTATGAAATTTCACTTTAGAGGGGAGGCAGGGGGGGTAGCTGGTACGGTTTTACATGAAATAAAAAGGGCTTTTTACAATTTACAAGGAAAAAAAAAAGTTTTTACAGTTTACAGTGTTAAAAATGGAAAATTGAATGGTCCGAAGAGCTCTCCGACTCAAATTCTCCGCCATTGCTGCGTCGTGTGTAGAGACGCATGCGCATATTACCCTCGTAATGCTCTTCATTCGGTTAGAGGGCCTTTTACGTCTTGACATTCAATTTTGTAGTGAATTGTGTCATCTAGTCGTTTTACAGTTTCTGAAATGTAATTTTCCTGGATTATTTTTTTATGATTTTTTTATTTGTATGTAAATTCTTGTACGTACCGAGAAAAATGACACATTTTTACAGTGTACGAAAAAAATATTTGATTGATTACATTGTACGTCTAGCCTGTGATTACAGAATTACGGAATTTATTTTTTCTATTTACGTTGTACGAACAAAAAAATATTGCAATTACGTTGAACGAAAATAACCCTTGCCCCCCTCTACTTTAGAGTTCACAAATATTTGCTTTTGTCACATCTAGTTCATTTGACTTTAAATATAAACTTCATCATTTGCTGTTATGGCAGAAGGTGGTGTTGGTAGCAGATTAATATTAGGTTTGAGCTGAATATTGCCTCACATCAAGTACATGCCTGATAATATTGGAAGCAGTCAGTATAAATCAGTCCTAAGAATTGACCAAACTCACATGTTAATTTGTCAATGCATCAAAATAATCAGTCAGTCTGAATAGTGTTCACATAAACTGTAATATGTGTTATTTTTGTATAATGCCAATTTAAAAATAGAGTATTAGAAAATATATCTCTGTGTTTATATGGTGAGCAATGTGTTATTTTCCATGACATGCAAGTCCAGGAAATGTTGATACTGTCATGTTATTTAGCACTTCGGGTGTCAAGTTTTTGCCAAATTTTGTTTTTTTGTGTGTGCTCATTTTTGTATATTTTTGCATATTTGGACAAAATTTACATGATTTTCAATTTGCCGCAGGGCCTGACAAAATTATGGTAAAAATATTAAAAAAA